GAGTACCAACCTTTCCTAATTTTAGGCGGTAGAAGCATATGAAGTTACCTCATGAGGTTATTTTGCAGTAGAAAAATTCACGTTAGAAACATGGCAAGCACCTACTCAAGTACAGTTGAGATGTAACCACCAGACAAGACACGAACTTTTCTGCTTCTAAGACAGTTACTAAATAAAGGTAGCCACTATCCACCTGTAAACAGCTGCACAAAACTATAAAAGTAGATGTAAAAAGATACAGTTTAACATCGGGCTACATCACTTCGAAGCAAATGCAGGGCATTGCAAAATCCCAAACAAGTTAATACAACATTTCGAACGATTTCTTCATGAATTCTCATTACTATCACGTTGGTGTATGAAATAGTCCTAGAACTATAACATCATCAATAGAAGCAAGTGAATGGTTTGTTGTGAACCAGCTCAGCATAGTGATTTACGTGATGTGTTTCTACCTGTAGTTGCTCCCCTCGAACACAAAGCAGACAAGAATCCCACTCACATCCCCCAACCTTTTTATACATCCAATCAAATTTAGTGAAGCGTGTCTGCAGTGCCCAAATTCTATTACAAAGATAAAAGAATGTTGTTAGCAGAATGGCCCTGATCAGAAACCCGTGGGGAGCCAAGATAGCTTTAATATGCTACAAAAAATTTCATGATCGAAACTTCAGTGGAGAAATGAAGCCTGATAAGCTGGAGGGGGAGGAAGCCCACTACCAAACTGATAACCACTATACGAGTTAGTAGGATTGGTGTAACCGGAGGATCCACACACAGGTGACCCTAAGCCATCCGGAGAAAAAAGATACGTGCTGGAGAGGGAAACTGGGCTACGATTTCCACCTGCATATGTTATAGAGCAACCCCCTGGGCCACGACAATTATATGTATTCTGTACTTGCATACAATAACCAGTTACGCCCACACTCCCGTATTGGCCTCTGCCCGTGGAACCACGGCAATAGCTTCTATTGTCATTGTTATTGGCATTCGTAATAGCCGCATAACCAGCTCCAGCACCATTGCTAGCACGAGGTCGCTTGGTTTGAGCTTTAACAGCCACTGCTGCCTTTTTTCTATCTGACTTAGCCTTCTCTAATTGAGCTACGCGCCTTTGAAGTGGCATGGACGGATACTGACTTTGTAACTGATATTCTTCTATGCACTTCGGCACAGCTTTCAGTGCAGCCAGCTCTTTCACAGTAGCATCGTTCTGCAAAACCGAAACAATACCACTGGTGTTTCAGTTATCATTACAATAACTCAAAAATGTTGAAAAGGTGAATTGCTTGCTTAGATAACTGTGGTAGAGACTGTTTTAATGAGTAGTCACTGGTACCCAGTTGAGTAAAAATGATTATAAATGCTCCTGTAAAAAACGCTTAATAAAATGCCAACATCCGCCACAGGGATTCACAATGAAGATGGAACTTCACCAGTAAAACATCTTATCCTTAACGAGTTGATTTAAGTACTATTCAAAGTAGCAGCACACGTCATAAAGATATCCTTCAAGAGATGAACTAATATGACCTTCACTCGTTCTGACTCATTGAGTTCCTTCACAATAGATTGTGAATATATCTCTACTTAAGATTCCCAGAATATAACAGAGAGAAATGTACTGTCTTCACCATCCACCATCCATAATTATCAGAAATTCACTTGTGGGAGTAAACTAACTCTGCAGAGTATGTTGTGCAGCACCTGAGCAGCTGCTGAGCTGTTTCCAGTCTTTAGAATTAACTGTGCGGATCTTCGGGACTACTTTAGATAGACTTTTGACAAGGGAATGGGCTAAGCGCGATCCATTATTCCGAAAGAGTGAGCAAATGAGAGAGCGTCGATTTGCTTGCCTTTTTTGGCCAGCCTGTCCACGACATCTGTGATAGAAACAGACAATGATAAAAGATAGCAAATAATGAGTATATTTGAGCGAACCTACTCACTAAAACTACTGACACATGGTGTTTATCTGTGAAAGAATTCTCTAAAACTGTGAAGAGTCAGTGCTTAAGTATCCAGCAGTAGCCACATACCCTGTTTAGTTACAATAGTCACCAAATAGACGCGAAACACGTATTTTTAAACCCAAACAAATGACTAACCTATGAAGCACAGTCCAATTGTCTGATAAGATCATGGTAATCGTTGTTAGCATCTACTTGACTTATCTGATACTTATGACCACTTGAGTAAGATCAATGAACATTTATGCATGTGATGAGCACGGAACACAGCAAAGGGCATCAGAAGCACGCCAAAGAATGCTTAGTAAAATCACCTACTTACCAAAGAACCTAAGTTGGCCATCCTCGTTACGAAAGCATAGGACAAACTTCCGGCGAGACAAAAACAGAAGAAGCACACTTTCACATGCTTAATCCTTGAACGGGATTCAGTCTACCACAAAAACCTCACAGTAACGTCGAAGCCTGACTGGGTTAGGATAGAAAATCTGCTGGTCATTATGACAATCAATATACAACCAGGGCAGCCTTTAGGAAAGATAGGCAGGATCTGGTCACGAAACACATCAGAAAAATGGGGAGCACGGAAAGATGGAAAACAGCAGGAACCTCCGCCTCGACGCGTCCTGCTGCTAGAAATGAGAGAAGTTTCGTCAGTAAAAGAATATAATGCCTTGCGAAAAGTGCAGGTGGAGTTGGGTGCAAAAAACAAAGAAAATCGGTAGTGATCTGGAATAAGGGTGATAAGGAGCTAGAACTCTAGAGACCGCACGCAACGACATGAACAGGCCTGGGAGGCCTCAACGCGGCAGCACAGAGGAGAGACACCAACCTGGTATCTCGGCAGAGAGTCCAAGGGACTGGCAGAGCGCAGGGGTTTGCCTGCGCCTGGCAACAGGGGTGACAAGTTTGCACAGCTCGTCATCCTTATACTCCGTAGCAAATCCAAAGGTAGCAACGAGCTGAAGAAAAGCTTGAGCATCAAGAGAATAGCCAGCGGCATCTCCTTGCAGATCTATTCTGGACTTCCACTGGTCTGCTACCTGCTTGGCCGATTCCTTAACATTAGTAGGAACCACCGGGTGATCTGCTCCCAACACTGTGTCGGCTAAAACCAAAACCAGACACTCCAGAAGCAGAATACAGGCCCGACGGTTAGCCGAAACCCCTGATTCCTTATCCTTCTCGGAGTTCCCTTGCTGTCGCAAAGAAGGATTGATCATTGTCACACTGGCTGACTCGGGAAGGTGATACCCTTCCAAAGCTCCTAACACCATGCATGCGGGATCGATAGCACACTGCAGAGCAGAGGGCAATTCATTACGGAGGGCACCCACATCCTTCCGATGGTCGACAATGTACTTCCTTAGCCCATCGCCATCCATTATCTCGCAAAACGCCTGTAGCTGTGGGCGCACATGCACTTCAGGTACTACTGCTTTAGGAGCGTGAGCGGGAGCATTGTTAGTAAAAGTATTAATTGTGGGAGGAGAATCTGTGTTTGAGGTGACGGGAGCGATAATGATGATGTTGTCGGACTGCCTTGCAGGCACTGGCCCATTTGCACCCCCACCATGTTCAACAGGGGTGATGGTTGTGCTTCCAGCAGGCTTAGCAGGAGATGAACCATCTATTTCCATAGCTTGAGGGTTCAGATCAGGGCCATTGGTAATGGCTGTGCCCGTAGGGCGAGGAGACTCTGGTTTACTGGATGTTGTTTCAGCAGAGACACCGTTGATCAGAGGGCCCTTGAAGGCACTTTCAGCTTCAATGTGAGATCGTTCTTCCAGCCACTTGCGCTTTTCTTCGAAAAGCGACGCAAAAGCAGAGTCTTTCTGTTCCTGAACTCGGGAGAGCGTGGCCTTCTCCCGCAATGACAAAGCTTCGTCCCTGTTGTCAAGGGCCTTTAGCATCTCCTGGTACTTGATCTCAAAGGCTTTTTCCTTGGCTACCAGGTCATCGAGTCTCTTCTGCATTATTGACTCGAGTTCTACAAAATGGTCCTCGAATTCTTTCCACTCTAGAGTATAATTCACTATTGTTAATCTTTGAAGCTCCAAGTCTGCCATTAGTTTCTGCAATCGTTCCTTTCTAATCGGAACGGACTCTAACTTCTCCTTTGCCAGGTCTACGGCTGCGAAAACTGCTACGGCCTCCTGCTCTTGCAACCCCTCCTTTCTCACCTCCTTCGGATCCCCCTCCTTCACCACATTTGCCTCATTTCCCGTTGTTTCACTCTCCATCGCGATCCCTCGCAGACACCGTATTTTCTTCTCCTCCTCAACCCTCACCACAAGCACACGCACACACACCTAATATCCAAACAATCGAACAATCACAGCCAACACGATCGTGTCCAATTCACCAACTCCAATCAAAAGCAAATAAGCCCTAACAACCGTCCAGCATAAAACCTCCACAAATAAAGAAACCAAATTTCCAACTCTTCCCAGAGCCAAGGATTCTAAACTGCAAACCACAATCACGGCACGACCGAGAATCCCACAGCAATCCTGACAAACCACTAATACATTCTGTGGTCGGAGGAGCGAAATAGAACAATCAATCGGGCAATAGCTGGCGCCAAGTTCAAGCCCTTCTCCCGCTTGCTTGCTATTCCTCTCCTCCGAAGTGTTCCGCAGACAATACAGTCAACTCTTGATAAATTTTAACATTCCTTATTCTGCAATGAGTGTGGTTAGGAATGCTATTCAAAAACTGTCAACCCAAAAAACTGATTTCAGTGCGTAGTTACTAGATCCTGTAACTTCGTCTGATACTGACAAGGAGTAAAAAACGTCGACATTTTCAGCAAACTCAGCGAATCATTAAAGATAACATAAATTTAAAATTTCGACTTAATTAAATGTTAAGTTAACAAAATTCTCATTGATACAAATGAAAATTATAATAATTCTTGACCTTGAACGAATATTGTATTGTGTACCCTATCTGAACTGTTAAAAGTTAAAGAGGGTCGATGGTGCAAGGGTTGGCTTTGGTCTGCACTTGGAAACTTACGCAACTGCCTGAACGCCAATCGCACTTGGTCATAGTATAATGTTCTCCCATAATACATACGTGTACAGAAGAAATTGCGTTGTTGTTTTTTGTTTTGCAAAGTGAAGTAGAAGTCGGACACGATTACGACTCTCCGCTTTCTGCCTGTTTTGAGAATAGATGGTGTGGTATTCACCGATCGTACACTTCCTGACTTGACAGCTAGACTTCTTGTGGGTGTGAAGAGGGACCGATTTTCGCCGTCATCTACCATGTAAGGCCTGATTTGGTCTGGATTCAGCTCAATGAAACCTTGATGAAGAAGAGGTTTTGGTCTGGTAGATCGAATTTTCTGATGTTTGTAGTTTGGATTGCCTGATGAAACGCAAGGATAGTATTGTGGAGTAAAGGTCTTTCGAGCAGAGGATGGTTGCAATGGAGCTGGTAAATTAGGGTTTAGTTCGAGTAGTGGTGCATTGGACTGCGAAGTAAATTGAGCTTCTTGTAGATGGTTTCTTTGATAGAGTTACAATCGCGGATCAACAATTGAGAGAAATACGGGTTGGGATGGCAATCAACTCAGCTATGGTAACGTTGGATTGATATGTGAGTTTTAAGGAGAAGGAAAAACTTGACCTCGATACAGGTTTTCTTTTGAGATACACAGAGACCATGTACAGTTCAGAAGCACCTCCCCTGCCACCCGGCCGATCTCGGGAGCTGGCGCAGGCAGTGGTTCCTGCGGATTTTTCAGTGAAGCAGCTGTTGTGGCAAAACAGCGTACAACTGAGACAACATTTGCGGGAGCTTTTGGAAAACGCTGCGCTGCTCAAAGCTGTGTACGTATTGAAATCTTGTTAGTTTCTTAGTTTTATATCAACTGGTGCGCGAATCCTCTTGTCTGCGAAGTAACCCATCGATACATTCTGGTTTTAAGATTTTGTGAAATTGGATATCTATCGTTGGTCTTGCGAAATTCCTGTTATGCAGATTACTAATGCTTTGGGGTATGCTGCAGTGCGACAGAGTTAGAAATTTTCGAAAGTCGTGAATCCCTGAAAGATACTGCTAGCACGATCAAAGAATGCGTTTCCGATTTTCGCTCTTCTTCTGAGAAGCATGAAAGACTTTCTGTGACTGAAATTGGGGATGATTCCAGAGGCGTTCCTGCGACAGAGGCTCCATCAATGATTCAGGTCTCTGATAGGTCCACTACTTTGAATAAACATGCCATAGAATCACTTGAAAATGTTCCAGCCCTTGAGAGAGACTCCCTCCGTGCGGCTTTGCTCTCTGCAGTTCAGACTAGTGGCGGTTCCGAGGCACAGACAGTGGAAGCGGCCTTGGAATTGCAGAATCGTGTCACGAATTTATTGGCACCGCTTGAGGGAGCTTTGGGTGCTCCTGAGGGTTGGGAGCATGCTGCAGCAGCTGCTAGACTGAGGACTAAACGTGATAAAATTCAACGCAGTAGGAGATGGAGGAAGCGGAAGCGACAACGGATAGCTGAGACTCATCGTAAGGTTTGTTTTTCATGTTCGTCTCTTTTCCACTCTTCGTTCAAGTATTCTTTTCAGCTTTTCAGTGTTTGAGTATTCAACTCACCATTTCAATCTGTACTTACATCCGTGTAGTTAAACGATTAAAAATGAACGTTTTACTGGTTTCTGAATTGTTGGTTCAGTTCCTTTGTATGCTGTTTCCATGATGAGATTTGCATATTGTTATGGCATTGTGATTTTAATAGATGGCATATCGGGTTGGTTCACCTCTGGCGTATTCTGAGTGACGCAGACTTGTTCCATGTGCTGTATTGTCCATGGCAATATTGATATTATTTTTGCAGGAGCAAGAAAGTTTCGAAGAAGCCGACCACAACGTCGATGAATGGAGGGCCAGAGAGATTGCTAAGTCAATTGCTAGAAGCAAGGTTAGTATTGCCAAGGTGTCTGGAATGAGGATTTGTTTTTCGGCTATTCATGATTTAGAGGATGGCTCATATTTGTCGGAACGTTTCTGTATTTATTTTTGGCGCAAGACAACACTTCCCAATTCTACTCTTGAAGGGCTATATATATATATATATATATATATATATATATATATGAGTCCTATACTCTGCTGGGGATCATGCCAATTAGCTCCAAGGGTAGTTTCAGCTTTTCTTATTTTTTTTATTATGCATAGGATAGTTTTTAATTGAACTGTTTTATCTTGTTTCATTGCTGTGCAGATGGAGAAAATGAAAGAGGTCGCAGAGAAAAAGGCTAAAGAGGACAGAGCAAGACTAGAAGCTGAGGTTTTGTTCACCCTTTGTCTACGAAGCTGCTAAGTGGTTCCTGTGATTATTAGATTTATTTTTAAGTTCCATACCCAGTTCCATGTCACCAGTTGAAAATAATTATGATATTTCGCAGCTGGAGATGGTATTGATGGTCGAAAAGCTTCAAGAATTACGTGCCCTTCGCATTCAAAAGCTGAAAAAACAAGGTTATCAATAACTTGACAATCTTAACAATGTTCTGTTCTTGATATTTACTTCCATCTATTTTAGCACCTTCAAAATTAACATTTTATCCATTTGTTTGAACCTGTTTTTCTTGTGCATTGGTGGTAGGTTGTTTCTTTCCAGACGAGGACGACAAATTCATGGACAGAGTACGTGCAGCCGTTCAAGAAGAAGAGCGCCAGGCTGCTGCTGCAGCTGATTTTCGTGCAGCTGCGGCCGCCATAGCAATTGCTGCAAAAGCTGCGAAAGTTACTGGCCAAGTTTCTACTGCTTCCAAAGCAGATGGTGATAGACAGCTTGAGATTCAGCTTGAGGAAACTAGTGAAAGAGATTCCAATACTGTTCGGATAGACCCTGCTGATCAGAACGTAAGAGAGCATTGTCGAATATTCAGTTGTGAATCTAACGTTTTCTCTGCGTAGCAACTGGTTCTGTTATTATGCTCATGGCTCTCCTTGCCGTATTATCAAATGATCACTAACTGTAAATGTTGTGTTTCAGGTTGTTGAAACAACAATTAGTAGCAGCAATGCACAAAATGCGCAGGGGATAGGAGCAACGATACAAGAAGCTTACAAACTACCTGCCGAATTTCATCACTTCTATTACGGCAGTCAAGTGGACCTGGGAGCACTGATTGAGGTAAAAAGAAAATCATCACAGAGAATTACTGGTACGTCACATATGAGTTGCTACAGCTATGCAAACAAGCTAGAACATGATCCAGCTCCTTCAATCAACAGACAATTATGTGATGCATGATTTTCTTCCTTGTTGCCCACGCTAATAAACGTTGTTGATAATCGTTTTCAGGTGAGACGAGCATGGGATGCCTATCTCATGCCTGGTGGAAGGTGAGCTACTACCCTTACCACCTATGTCAGGTCACTCTGGCAAATTTAAACAACATTATGGCCGATGTTCAACTGACTTGATGTTTTTTTCCACTGCTTGATGCTTGATGGTAAAGTGTGTTGGCCAGGAGTGCTAAACGACACACCAATTAGAACATGCTGACTACTGATGAACGTGTTTTTTTGTTTATTTCAGTCGAATACCTGGCCACTGGGTTGAAGCTCCGCCTCCAGCAGATGCGATATGGGCTACATATTTGGTGCAACCCACTAGCAAAAAAGTTGAGGCAGAAAAGACCAGATTGAGTTAAAACGCAAAAAACCTAAGGAACGGAAAAACAGAAGACCAGGAAGATGAAGGTACTTGCCATGCGTAATGCGTGTTTTGACATTGCTATCTGTAACATTGATGGCGATGATCATGAAAACATGTGGTCATGTACTTGAGGTAATCACATTGTATTGTGGGGTTCACCCTGATAACTATACATGTCCGATGTTCTGAGCATCTGAGCCATCTGTATGTCGACATGTTTGATGAGAAATATTTAGAACTTAATGCAGCAAGATCCTCTGTCCATACTACATCTCTTGTATACTACATTTTCTTAAGTGCTGCAAAAGATCAATTTTTGGTTGGCATTGCCTAAGATATCTACTTTTGATTGGAAACTTAAAATATTTTTGTGTTTTATTGTTGGATCTGCGCTAATCACTATGCTAATGGCAATCACACGGCTGGTTGTGCTTGTGAGTTCTGTTGTTATGCAATGTGGAGGTAATGGCCAAACATGTGGTGCCTTGTTATGGTATCTCCATTGGAAGCGTCTCATCAGTATGTGTTGGTCATGCAAAGAGTGAAGCTCATTGTCCGCCATATCAAAAGTCGGATACATGACTTCTTGAATTGAGTGGATGCAAATCCCATCCAATTATAGTCTATTACAATGAAGTCCAAATCGACTGTAAATTCCGAAGTAAATTTTTATTTTCTTCTTGAAGACATCTAGAACCAACACAATGTATAAGTTAAGTACAATTCATTTGAGATTTCTAATATTTACAAATTAACATAAAACCCACAATTGATTGTAGATGTTTTCTTTTTTACTTTTTCATTATGTGTGATTTTAATCCTAATTCATAATATTCTATTGTATAACTTATTAAAAACCATTCATACAAAAAAATAAATGAAATCCTTTCTTTAAGTAGAATTTTTAAGAAATGAATTTTTAAATTGTTGTTCCTAAATGGAATACCTAAATCAATGTTATTATTTTTGGCAAGCTTATATTATGACAAACAAAAATTATATTGTATATAAACTTAATAAATATGTGTAATTTATATCTTATTTTTTTCTTCCAAAAAATAAATAAACTATGATCTTTTTGCAATGTTATTGTTTTTTTTATATAATCATTATGACAATAAATCACCTCCTATATTAATATATATATATATATATATATATATATAGAGAGAGAGAGAGAGAGAGAGTGTTAGTTATTTAATTTTAATTTTTAGAAAGCATTTCATTGTTTTAGATTTTTAGAAGAGAAGGGTTTTTTCATAATCTTATTGTCTAAATGTATATATATATATATATATATATATATTTAAGTTAATTATATATTAATTAATATTATATGTAAAAAAATATTAAAATGATATAAGATTTTATTAAATTAATCCATCCATCATCACAAAACATATAGAATATTGGTGTTATTTGCATCATCATTACTAAAATTTATATTTGGATTAATACAATAATGGTTTTTTGAAAATGGAATTGGTATGATGATGGTCTTATGTCTGGTAGTAATAGCTAATTACCAACAACTATATTTAACAGTGTCATCTTTTTATCTTATATTGTCAAAAGCATATTTTCTTATATATTAAGCTAGTTTATAACTATTGTAATATCTTTGATATTGTGTTTAGTGTTTAAAGAGAGCGAAGGAGGTCTACTTTTATATTACTTGGATTTTCTAATGATTAGTGTATTGTTATGGATTGCACTCATAAAAATCAATTTTAAATGTATATATTGCATGTAGTGGAAATAACTAGCTTTAATACCTCTTTTACAATTTTTTTTAAAAAAATTTCAAGAATAAAAATAATTTTTTTTGGTGGGTCTTAATTCAACTTATCCAATATATATGGAAATATCAAACCAATTTGCATTGGATTTTATTGAGATTTGGCATTAATAAATGCCATTAAAAATATTTTTTTTACTTCTAATGTCTTACTTTACATATGGCATATTCAAAAAAAATGACTTGGCAAACTACAAGAAATATTTTGCCATAGAGATAGAAGCAAGTTGGTCTATATTTTTAGTAGATTGGACCAATGTGATAAATATTTCTTTTGAGGCACTTCACAATCAAAAACAGATTATCCTTTCTACTAAGTATACTCCCACCAATGCCTATATAGTTGTTAAGTATTTGCAAAATATTTAAATACCATAGAAAAATATTTTATTAAAGCTTGGACAAATAAATAGATTTATTTTGGAAGTATAACCACATCTTTAGTTGAGAATGAAGATTCACCTCTCAAAACATATTTAAAAGTTTCCACCAAAGATTTATGAGAGGTACAAATTTATCTTTCTCATTTTTTTAAAAATACAAGAGAGATTATTGCAGAAGAAAGTTAATAAAAGACTTATATATATTATCAACATATTATTTTTTTTTCATAAATGTTGTAAAATAAATATCTATGTATACACTCAACCTTATCTTTGAATAATTTAAATGTACAAAAGAAGTATTCAATATTAACTCTTGCATATGTACATTGACAAAGACATTAGTAATACCATATAAGCATAAAATTCAAATTCTGCTATATAATGGAGGTATTTTGTTGATAGAAGGTTTTCTTGTTTGATGTTATTTAGTGAATATTACTAGTTTAATACTTGCATCAATAATTGTAAGATTAAAAAATCCAGTAGTTAGTTATTCAAAGGACCAACTACATAAAATACTTAAATATACAAGACAATTTAGTGTAGATTCTTCTATACAATATACATCTTTATAGTTGAAAATTATTGAAGGAGCAAAAAATTTTCTATATTGCAAAAATTGCCAAAGTTGCAAAAATAATGTGCACATTTATCCCATTCAAACTATCATGTCTTTATAAGTATCTATAAGTATATTTCAATTATAATAAAATTTATAATAGTTATGTGAAGTTGCTTATTTAATAAAAATACTAGCTTTTTAGTTTGTTTGATAATATAAAAAAATATATGCAATGACATCCACATTCTTTTTTTTCAAAGCATTAAATAGTCTACCACTACCATTAATACTATTCTTTTCTTTCTTACTGCTGTTTTATATCCCAAGCTATTTCTTTATCAAAGACATGTACATAAAAATTACAAAAAATTCAATAAAAGCACCTCTAATAGCTATCAATTTACAACTAAATTCTTAATAGGTTTTACTAATAGCCATATTTCTTCACTTTATAGCTATTGATACAAGTTCATTGCATCACTGATACCAACAAGTACTAAGTACAAAAAAAATCAAATCACAATATAAAAAAATACTAAGAAATGATGTTGGACATAGTTCCTATAATTTTAGGCAGAAAAATGACAACTTAATGTAATATACTTAGTATATTTATTTAGCCCTTTTAAAGTATTCTTTCAAAAAAAATTAAGCAAAAAAAATAAAATAAAAAAAAATAAATAAATTATTCAATCAATCTATTTTCTTGCTCTACATATTATATACAAAGATAAATGTATTTATTTAGGCTTAGATATTAAAAAATAAGCTTTCTACCTATTAAATTTAGTTGCAAAAATTATAAAAATTGTAATAAAATAATACTTATTAGACATTCAATAATTGATTTTGTGGAAGTCAAAATCATTAAAATCATTGTTAGCTCTTTGACTTGCTTCAAAAGAGTCGTTTGTACCTGATTAGGGCATGATCTCTAGTGTAGTATCCACAATAGCCTCTTCTTGATATATCAACCTATTTCATATAATAAAGTTTTTTTTTATGATATTTAATTTACCTATCTATATCAAGAGCATGCCTCTAAATTTCTTCCTTGTAAATAAGATGTGATATAGATCCACCTTTAGACTTTCCATTTTCCATTCAAAATAACATTCATAAGCTTTGTCAAGAACTACGTCAATTAAATCTTAGAAATAATCTTAAAATAATAAAATTTGATAAAATGTGTAAAAAAATATATTTTTAATTACAAGTAAAATTATTTTTTTCCACCAAGAAGAATAACAATGTTAGTCATTGTAATCCCATTCATAATCACAATTGCTCACGTATTCTTTCTTATATTTGTCATTCTTGACCACAACACCATTTAAGATCTCTACTACAAATTGTAGCAATAATAGCTATTTAATAGTGGTGTTAAAGTCAAAATTCAATAAATAAAAATAAATAAGTGAAATATTTTTCAAAGAAAGATGACAAAAAAGAAATAAGTAAATATGTGTATTCAAAAAGAAACTAAAATAGTTATTGCTAAGAAATAAGAAAATTTCAGATCTTTGAAACTATACTAAAAATAAGAAAGAAGTTGACAAGAGTAAAAAAAGTCTCATTCTTGTCTATATATATATATATATATATATTCTATTTAACTAAGTACTATATAATGACATTATATAAGAACTGTAGTACATATTTAGTTTGCAAGACATGTATCTAACTTACAATATAGGCTTCTTATATGTGTACTATATGTCCAACTTATATGATAAGTCACCAATATGTGTAATACATAGTTAATTTTTTGGCCAACTATTCAATTTATCAATTATCTATAGATATATATAAAATCAGAGTTATATTTATAAGACTTCTTAAAAAATTTACTATAAGATATTATAAAATTTATTTATTTATATTTAATTCTATCTATTCATATTATTTAGATAATTATTGGTGTAAATATAGATGTCCATGGTATTATCCTTCTTTTAGAGACAAGTTCCACAAAGAGCGGTGATTACATGTTAATGAAGTCTAGGATGCGACAAATTATATTTGCCATACTTTAATCTTTGTTTCTTTTGAAGGTCCTCTTAGCTATTAATAATGTCTTATACAAAAGTGAAAATACTACCTTGCTATTTGATCATTGTTGAAGTCTATGTAAGTTCTTTCAAATAAAATATTTATAATACTATCAAAAATTATTTCTATTTTTAATGGTATTATCAAACATTGAGAGTCACTCTTGAGGTCATGATATCAAATAAATTTTTTCTTGCCATTTATTTAAGAAAAATATATTATTCTTGAGGATCTTCATCTCTATTACATTATCTTGAACATTGTGACAATTGCAATATTTTTTTTAATAATTTAACAAATAATAGCTCTTGAAATGTATCTATTAATTATTGGTTCTCGATTTTTTTAGCAATACAAAAAAACCACAATCAAGAGTAGAGAATAGAATGCAATCTTCATTAAACCTCATTTCTTTTATAGCAAAAATTTTTTTGACTCTTCATCTTGATTTTAATGGATGTTGTTGATAAAAAATCTTTGATCTTTTCTTCTATATTTGAAAGATTTTTGGTTGGCTTCTATGTATAT